TATGTGCCCTAGTAGGAACTGGATCATATTGTTTTAGTATAATACCTTTTGAAGTTACATCTAGATAAAGAAATTTTACTAATATACATCTTCCATTAATCAAAATATCGGATTCATCAATAATCCTTTTGCCTTGTAATAATGAGAGGGTCTCAAAGGTAATGAGAATCTTCATCGATTGTAATATCCTTCAACAACTTCTAGAAAAATGTATTCTCAACTATTATTAAAGGATTGGAGTCTAGTATAGACTAAAGACTATTCAATCTTATTGTTTGGCTAGAATAAAAAGAAAATTTTGATATTGAACTTTACCTGATCAGGATGATAGGAGAGAAAGATCTCAGCTTGAATATATAGTAACTTTTTCATCATCTAGAAACTTGTTGTTTGTATTTTATTGGTCTTATAGAACTTTATCTATAGATTAACCCAATTGGAGAAGTGGAACAGATATGAGGCATTAATTAATTCTTTTAATTATCAATAACATCATTAGAATACATAAAATACCTATTAGAAACTTGTTTAAATTTAGTTATTAATGTATTTCATATCATCCAATCAGTTGTAAGTGATATTATGCTATTAAAAATTCAGGGTAAACTGAGATAAACAAAATTTCTCAAGAAAACTGTAAAAATAGTAATACTTTAAAAAGATACAAGACAGTATATGAGAAGGTGGATAATAAGCCTTTTTCTATCAATAAAATCTCTATTCCTTGTCACTTCTAGCTCTGTAAGGTGATATTTTACTTATCAGTTTTTTTAATTTCTAGAATCTTTTTGCTCTTAATAGAGAAAGTGCGTATTTGAGTTTTATCAGACCACTAGAGGACCAAGTTTTTATTTAAAGGAGTTTATAAACAAGTAAGAAAGAGTAAGAGAGATACATAAAGACAAGCTTCAAGTTGTTTTAATGAAAGAGTAAAGACTTTATTAGCAAAGAAGTATAAAGCTTCTTGTAAACATCTTTTTTATATGATCAGAGAATCAGTGTAAAGAATTTTTCTTAAATTTTATTCTTATCTAAATTATTTATAATATATACTATATAATTTAAAATATTATATAGATTAAAAAAAGGTTAATCAAATATTTAATAATTGAATTAATATTTTTTTAATCTATAAAGTAGAATATAATATATTTATATTAAAATATTAAAATAGTAAAAGTATTATATGTAAAAAAGAAAATTTATAAATATAAAAGCTATTTTTAGGTTTCTATAAATAAATAAATAAATATTTTATTAAGAACAATTATATTTATATGATAAATCAATATATAAAAACCTTATAACAAAAAATTTAAGTGCATTTTTTTATTCATTTTAGAGTTTAGTACTAGATTTTCTTTAATAGGTTAATTCTTATAGTGTTATAGGTTACGTGGGTGATGCGATTTATGCATAATGGTCTAGAATCCAAAAACTTGAAAGTCTGACATAAAAGATTGAGTGTTGCAAGGTAAGAAACTATAGATAAGGCTCGGGTACTGCTAAGGGAACTGTGTGTATCTGAAAAGTATAAAAAGTTTAGCAAAGCTTAGGGTTAATATAGCCAATTATAAAGTAGATAGCTATTGTTAGATAAATAGCTTATCAATGTATACTGAAAAGGCAGAGCTGAATGTGTTAGGAAAAATAGTTTTTATTGAGAATAGAGATAAAAGTTAGTGATATACCAAAAAAATAGAATGCAATAATGAGATACTTACTTTTGGCCAAGTCAATCACCACGCCTCTGCTTTTCTTAAGTGTTCTTTATAGGAGGCGTTCTCTTCTTTGTGTTATTTGTGAGTATTCTTGAGAAGTCTGGATTATGCGAGGTGCTACAGATTAGCAATGGACTTGCCGGGATAGCCCGCGACAATAGTTTGAAGTAATAATAAGCTATATGAAAAAAATTTCTAATTTCTCAATTGAGTTTTAAAAGGTTTAATTATAATAAATAATATAATTTGTAATCCTAAAAATATTTCATTGACATTATTTTATTAAAGCTAATAAACAAGATTGAGCTAGCTATTCAAAAAAATTATTTAAAAAAATTTCATATTAATTTTATACAAGTTGTAAAAATAAATAGAGTTGAAATTACCTTTTTAAGTTATATACAAATCATAAAAATAAGAAATTTTAGGTATAAATTTTTTCAACAAACTTATTAATAATATAATAAATTCAAAAAACTATTTTTGAATCTAAACATAAAAGTATTGATCAATTTGAGTTAATAATTATATTAGAGATAAAAATCCATTATAATAATAAAATAGCACATAAAAATTACATCACTTTACTCCTAACCTTATTAAGTAAACAGTCAATTATTTTATCGGTGACTGATTTTTCAGATTTAATTATTTGTTTGTTTTGTCGATATTTCAGGAATAGGATATTTATCGCATAATTATGATAATACTTTCGCACGTGCATAAATCATAGATCATAAACGCAGCCTCAGATTTTGGATCCATTATATGGGTTATATTTGGTTTTGCTCGATCAGTAGTATTTACCCCATTGTTTAAAACGGATACGTTTAAAAAGATAAAGCATCAATTGACATCATTTTTATAACTGAGTATATATTTTAAAAACCAAATTAGCTTTTCCTGTAGTTTATATGAAAATTATAAGCACCATTTCTGTGATATACGGGAAGTTGACGCATATAAGAAAATCGATTGTTAAATGGTTTTCTACGCAGGTTTTTAATTTAGAATCGTAATTATTATGTTAGCAATTGTCGACTTCGTATGCATGTTTCTCGGTATATTCTAAGCCTATCAGAAAGTGAACTAACTTATATTATGTTTTTGATGTTGAAAGTAAAATGTCTTAATTATACTTTTAATTAGCATAAAAAGTTCAAGTTTGCGGTTGTGTTATTGTTTTTAATATTAGGTTTTATAAAGAACGTTTTGGTCGAAAGATGAGTTGAATATACAATATTAATATTGTAACTTGCATAGATAGACTAATTTCAAGATATATTGACCACAAAGCTGAATTCGTAAGGAAAGGAATTAAGCTGCATAAAATAATTATCGAGTAAATATATTGTCATTCGTCGTCCTTAAAAAGTAGACAAAAGAGTAAATAGCCTTTGCATATGTTAGGTTTTCTCGTGCACGTTTTTGTTGCTTGCTTTAATAAAATAAATAATTTTGTTTTGCTGCTAAAATTTTTATATGAAAAGTTGCGAGATTTTCGAGTAGATCTTAGTTATTTGTTCTTAAATTGACAAGAAAATGTTTTCATGCGCTGATCAAAAAATGAGTTTATCCGACCAAACGTCATTTATCAATGATAAACCAAAAGAATTATTAGAATTGTTAATGTGATTAAAAAAAATTTTATAACACAAAATACGTTTTTTTTTTTTTTTTCACTTTAATGATCAATATAATCGTTCTTTTTTATGTTATTCATTCATTTATTTTTGAAGTTGTTTATTAACGCTAAAAAATTATGTTGTTACAAATTAATTGGTGAGTTGCTGTTTGCAGCTCGTGCAGCAGCGATCAAATAAAATAAACTTAACACCCGAGGTGAGAAATGTTATTTGACGGTATCCTGGTCTTCATTCAAATTTATCAACTATTCACCATCTATAGTCAAAGAACTATGATTCAATATAGCATTCTTATAAAAGTGTTTTGCATCTTACACAACATTATTGTTATTCAATTTTATTTTGTTTCATATCATTGATCTTATAATCTCACAATCTCTTAAATTGGTCATTTTCTCCTATCACTTTTATCTTAACTCTTTGTGATTTGTTGTATGCATAGCGAAGGTCGACAGTTACCATGGTTTCTCTTTATTTGCAACAATTTTCATATTGCATTGGCCATACTTCGGCTTTCTTTTATCACTTTTACTTTTCAACATACGTAACTTCAAACCTTTATTTTCTATCACTTTAACTATAGAATGTAAACAGTTTTTTGTTCTATTCAGAATTTTCGTGTTTAAGACACTTTCATTGAGCACTGACAAAAGAAAAGAAATTAGCTATAAAAACTATGCTACATTATTGTTTATAATGTTGAGTAACAAATGCACATAGATAAACCATTTCTGTTTGATAAAATTAGATAAATAAAAAATTTTTCTGGTTTAATACAGGTATTATCCAAAATCGCCACAATGGAATACTGCACGTAACCATCACCGCTTAAATAGCACATAAATATTCCCGTAGTGCAAAAATATTTGAATCAAGGGTAAGAAAATTAAAGCGTATAACAAAGAGGAAATTTTAAAATTTTAAACAACAACTATCATAGCATCCAGGTATCTTTGCGTGAGTACATAATAGATGATATAATGAATCCTTAATTTATTTCTTCTTTTTCCGCTAACACACCGCATTCATGGAAAATGAATTCCGATGTTCCAAATAGAAAGGCATGCGGCGTAACTATTCACAATGAAGAAAATCAATTTTCTGAAAAGGTCAATATAAAAAAACATATTGGCTCTATTATAAGCAATAATTATAAAAAGAATTTCGCAAAGGCGAACAAAAAAAAAGTAGAAAATAAAAAATTTCGCTAATGGATAAAGACAGATCGAACTGTGAAGAATAATGACGAATAAAAGAAGGACCAACTAAATAAGCGCCTGATTCACTATTTGAAAATATTTTAATCAGGAAATATATAAAGTAGTATCCAAGATATTCTGAATTGATAAATGAATATCAGTAGCAAAGTGATAAGGGGATAATGTCTAAAAGTTGAGTATATTTATACTCTAATTAAGTTGGAAGACCTAGGTTAGAAATCTTTTATCCTTATAAATTTTGATTAAATTTTGGTTTCGTTGTTTTTATTTTTATTTTTATTTTTTGCATCCATCAAGACTTTGACTGTTTTACCAAATATTAAATTTTTCTTTTTTAAAAGAGAGAGAGAGAAACACATCATGGAAGCCGATTTTTTCAATAATAAACGGATGACTTTGAACGTGCATATTTCTCAGGGTTTATAAGGAGAGCGCAAAGGATAGAGTGTTCCGATAACAATTACGTTTATGTTTTGCGACAGTGATTGGGAACTATAGGTTGAAATATGCTGTTGCAGCGAAGGTTGAGGTGTTGAAGAATTCTCAAAGGGAAATAATTCTCCTTTTAATATGTCGTATGTCTGATTCGTTGACATTTTGTGAATTTTTTTTTTTGCCTTTTGTTGTGCCCTTCGAATCTTTAAATAATTTGCACACGGTCTCCATAAAAACCGTAAAGAAGGCATGTATCACAAACTTCACAAACTTGTTAGACAGTTTAAATAATGAGAAACTCAATAATATTAATAATTAATATATTATCACTTGAAATTAGAAGACAATTGATAAAGTTGATCTTATTCTTTTTATCGTGGGAATGAAATGCAAGTTTATCTTAGTGTTTCTAACCGGAGTTCCTACCTCATTACCTCAAATTATCTTCGGGAATCTCCGAACAATGAAGCTTGTGATATCCAAGCTAATGAATAAAATTTTTTTTCTAGAGAAAAAAATAATAAATAAATGATAGGATAACTGCTTTATTATCAATGTAGACAAAAAATAATAACCAATGCTTCGAGCCGATTGCTATCAGAGTACATGTGAAAGTCCTTCACTTTTTGCTTTGTTATAAAAATAACTGCGCTGGTCATACTAAGCTTTCAGAGAAGTGCACCATCAACTCCTGAAAATTATTTAATTGTATCACAGCATATCAACAGCCCGTACTCAGCGAGATAAATATTTGTTTTAGTTATCGATAATTTCATTACAATTTCCAATAAAATAAAAAAAAACTAACCCTTTTCCTTTCATCCATCTTAAGATGCACTTGAAATAAATAATAATTTATCTAAAAAGACCCTACTTCTATTCACAAGACTATTATAAGTAGAAAATTTTTAATTCTGTTTCATTCTTCTAGCATACACTTGGAAGTAAATCATTGGGCAACTGTTAAACCGGATATGGCTACGGTTTCACCCGAAAAAAATTTTTTTTCAAGCATAGCCGAATTATAGTATCAAATATTATCATCGAATTCATTACATAATTTCGATGTTGGTGATTTACTTCTACTATATTCATTTAATCAAGTTGCCAGATGACTTTCTTCCGCTGAGTGCGCATCATTGCTTATCCAAACTTGCCTTATCTGCAGAATTACCTTAGTCAAGTTGGCGATATTATTTAGCATTGTATTATTTAACCAACTTTCCAGAAAAACATTTATCCACCATCAACAAGATACCTGACCAATAGAGTGGGTCTTTTAGGTGTTCCCAACCGCTACTGATTAAGCTTCCTTCGCTTTGACTCTTAATAATATTTCTTAGCATGAGATATTCTTTTCATATTTTTATATCCAGCCTATGCCATTATTTCTAAATTTTTTTTCGCTAGTTCCCTTTCATGCCTATAGTCGATTGTAAAAAATGAATATTCTTTTTTTCAACTTCTCTATTAATTCTACCTGTTTCAAATAAATAATTTTGGCCTTTTAACAAATCATTAGTTGTACTGTTCAAGTTTTCTCACAAAAATACTTGACTTTCCCGTGGTTCATCGCTAAATAGATCGCTCACCACACTTTAATATTCTACCTCTGTAATATATTCCTAATCCAATAATATTATGTGAACCTTTCTGTTCGCATGATAAATAGCACCAATATATAGATTCAGAGTGATTAATTAGCATGGTAAGATTTTTGAGTGTGTATTTTAAAAGGCTGGCAAGTATATCTTCCCGTGTTGGGAAAAACTCACAAATTCGGCCCTACTTCCCACGCAATGCAAAGTATGCTGATTATTAGCATTGGTGACAAAATACGGTCTCTCATACCACTGTATATTGGGCATTGGACACAGATAGATCACGCTAAAATTTTGAATGCGCCTTATCTGATAATAAAGACCACTAAACGAGGATCCATCCTCATGGGTCACAATAATATAATTACTCGATTTTTAGCCTTCGTCTCCTGAAAATCTCCATAATTCACCTCTTCGTTGCTATCAATCATCCTTAACATTATCATTAATATTGGATGGCTCGTCTGTTACTTTTTTGGATTGACGCCGTCGTATGGATTTAAAATCTTCGGAATTTTTCAACTCGAATTCATTTTAGAAGAATTTAGAGGATCAATTCAGGGATAATAATGCCTACAATATGGGAAGTATTGTATCCTTTTCTGATGTGCCGTGCCCATATGAACTTTGCAACCTCTCCCAATTGGCAATAATTATGATTGACAAGTAGTGGTTAGCAGATGATATAAATAATACGTGACGACCTTGAACACCATTTCCTCTAATAGATGAATACGTATAAAAGCGACACATTCGTCACTGTCGCGGCCACCATTTTTATGTCACCTGTAGAACACAAATTACGAGATCCACAAGTGAATAAGTTCAAAAGAAAATGTTAAAGGTCGACAAATAACTAAAAATTAAAAATCATAAGTTTACTGCATATTGTTGGATATTATGAGTACCCATTT